TCTCTCTCTCTCTCTCTCTCTCTCTCTCTCTCTCTCTCTCTCTCTCTCTCTGTCTGTCTCCTTAACAAAAATATCATAAATATATAATAATATTTATTTTAAACAGCATATGCCTTCTATAGTCTATCGCATGTTATGTACACTGAAAAAAATTTTGGTCATTTTTGGTCCAATGACGTTAATCAATATCCGACTAGTATGTAATGTAATTCATTGATATAATAACTGGATTTATTTAAATAACTATATATTCATTCTTGCAATAAATTTTAGTAATAGTAATTTTATAACCTACTTCATTATGAGAATTCATTGGACTAATTTTCATTATTTTTTCATAATTCAATAAATATTTTATTATATTTATGTACAGTTTTGATTCAGTGACACTGAGAGTGTATATCAGACTGAAGTGTAAGAAATGAGAAGTATTATAACTATTTTAATATGTAACAATATCGTTCGCTCTGACAATATTGTTCTATCTAACAATATTGTTTATTCTATGTTTACAATTGAATATGTTGTAACACAATTAATTATTATAACATAATAAATTAATATAATAGTATGTTGTATAACATAATGATAAATATAGTTACAATATAATTAATGCAAATTAATTAATTAATATCTAAACATATTGAATATATTATAGTAATTTAATAAATATTATTATGCAGTATTATTATAATAAATATGCAGTATTATTATAAAATTATTATGCAGTATTATTATAATCAAAATATATAAAAATAAGATTCAAGATTTATTATAAGATTTAAAGAGCCACTTATGTAGATATATGCATGATTCTTTTAATTAAAAAAACTGAATTAGATATATATATATATATTAATTATATTAATTGCTTCAATTAGCCATTTATCGTGTGATTCATTATAAAAATATTACATCTTCAATCCCAAATATATATTTTTTTTCATTAAATTAGACATTAGAAAAATGTTAAAGTTAACCATTTTATTCAAAGATAAAGGAAAATAATGTTCAATTGAGCAACAGAATGAATAGATACATCGTAAGCGGTAATGAGTTCTCTTAGTATTTATGTCCCGCCAAATCGTCGGTCCTCTTTGTTCCCCGTTTTTCATCAGATCTTAACCCTTTCTGATAGTGTTCTCTCAGTCCGACGCGCTCTTTTACTTTTCGTTTCGCATCGCAACTAACTAATCCATTTATCTGTAAGAGTGGATGCGCATTAGCCGCCTTCCATCTCTCATCCCACAGTGTTATTCGCCACTGTAGCTCTCTGCTATTCTTTTTTCGTTTCTCCATTTTCACCGTAACACGTTAAGTACTTTGATCCTCCCAGAAATGCTCAACGACTTCTTTCGGTATTTTCTTATCTCATCGACTACGGACTGTGCTCAACCATTAGCTGTGTTTAAATAAAGAATAGGTAATCCCTAAAATCCCTAGGTATGTTTACTATTATTTTTTTAGTCCGACACATTCGCTTGTTTCAGTTAAGATACAAAGAGAATAATTTTTACATAAATAGTACAAACAGATAATTCAATTATTTCAAATATTGTTTGTAAAAGATACTCAATTACGCATGCATATAAAAACATAAAGAATTATTAACAATAAAAAAAATGGCGATTTATATTCTTAATTAAGTCCATATTTTTTTAAAATAAAACAGTTTATTCATCAAATATAATAAATGTGTCGATAGAAATATATAAAAATTATAGACACGAAAAATAAAACATATGATGGAATAGACGTTTTGGAATGTGTACAATTTACAGAAAAAACGTATCTTTTACGTTCGAGTTATATTTTTCGAACGAATTTCTTTTTTTAGCTATAATTTTCAAAGCACAGTATTATTTTCCAAGAAATCTCTTCATCATCTTTAAATCCTCAGACAAAAAGCCGGAGATTACATTGGAACAACTTGATGCTCAACGAAACGCTCACGTCAGTGATGTCACCATGATATTCAAGGCTTGTTATGATGAGAGAACCGAGAAAAAATATTAGCTTGAACACATTATATATTATCGTATAAACGCATTATCTAAACGATTTTCGAAACTATGATATTACATAGTATTTAATACTTTGAAGAAAGTAGCACAGCGATGTTAAATCAACGAAAGAGATATATAATGTATTTATTACTTAGCAATTTAACTTGTTTGCGCGGTTACTTCTCTCTTTTACCCCTCTAATTAGCATCATTAACATTGAGTAATATCTGCTGCGTTTGTATATATTCGTTTGTACATGTATATAACCATGACCAATTCGCATATTGGTCTTAGTCAATCTCGTGGGATCTGTGGCAGATTTACAAAGGATATAGCAAGTTAATATCGCTAATTCCTCGTAAAAAGCAACAGATTTCCATTAGGAAGCGCGAGTTGAATACATAAAGTTCATGGTATCTACATTTTCCAGAAACAAAACAATACGAACGTTTTTCTGTTGAATATTGGCAATACAGTGCGACGATACGACCAAACAATCTCCAG